AGAATGAGATTTTGATTTACCATCCCATAATTTATGATAGATGAAACAAAAACATAAGTGTGCAAACCCTGATCTCAAATCCCAAACTTTCCAAAAATTATTTCTAAGGCAGTTAAAATTTGTCTAGTCTGATCAATATTTTCACCTCTAAAAACATAAATGGGTCATGAAGAGTAAGCTTACAACTAAACAAATGAATTAGACATCTACGACATGAATTTATAAAGATAGATCTCAAAAAACATTGATCAATAAATTAAGTTGCAGAATAATATACAATATCAATCGTTTACATAAAATTATAAACATACACAACAAAAATGCATATTGTTTATAGGCACATATTTGTAGTAAAAGTATAATAATAAGATTTGGAATCCTCACACTAAATATAAGATAGTTGTTACCTCTGGGGAGCAAGGGGAATTGGATCAGAAAGGTAAACGGAGGGGATTTATCTTTAAAGTTTTATTTCTTTTAATAAAAAAACAAGAGCTAAAGGCAATACGACAAGCTCCCAGAGATACCAATGCTATTAGACTAAGAACCACCCTGTGACTAGCAAAGACCTAGAGAATAAATGTCAGAGAAATAAGCAAGAATACTTGAACCAAGAAGAGTAATGGTTAGCCCAATAAATACTGAAGCATGTGTCAATGTTTCAGTAATTATATACTGAGGTAATGGCAAATAGCAGAATCATTTAAATAATAATGATAATAAGTTACACACACTAAGTGCTTCATAGGTGCCAGGGGCTGTTACATGCAGGGTGGAGCAAACGTAAGTTTACAGCTATGAGTACACGAATCAGAGTTTATTCTTGTATTATTACTTATTAATTATTGTATTACTAGAGGCCCGGTACATGGATTTGCGCACCAGTAGGGTCCCTTGGCCTGGTCTGTGCCACCTCACAATCCAGGACCCCTTGGGGGATGTCAAGGAGCCTGGTCCCCGCAGGCCAAGCCGAGGGATCCTACTGATGCATGAACTTATGAGTACATGAATCAGAGTTTATTTTTGTATTATTACTTATTAATTATTGTATTACTAGAGGCCCGGTACATGGATTTGCGCACCAGTAGGGTCCCTTGGCCTGGTCTGTGCCACCTCACAATCCAGGACCCCTTGGGGGATGTCAAGGAGCCTGGTCCCCGCAGGCCAAGCCGAGGGATCCTACTGATGCATGAACCGTGCACTGGGCCTCTAGTATGCATATAAGATCTTTGGTTCATCTCTTCCCGCCCTCCCCTCTCCCCGCTTCCCTCCGAGATTCATCAGTCTGTCCCGTGTTTCCATGCTTGTGCGCTGAGCATCTGCCCCCTGGTGGTCAGTGTGCATCATAGCTACTAGTCCAACAGTCAAACAGTTGCTTAGGCTTTTATACATATAGATTTTCCATACAAACAACTATAAACCTGCATTTGCCCCACCCTGTACACTTTATGTAAATTACCTTATTTCATCCTCATAACAACATATGAGACAGGTGTTATTATTCTCATTTGATCAAAAAAGAAACAAGGGGGTAGAGAAAATAAGTAATATGCCCTAGATCACAGAGCTGGTAAGTCACTGAGTCAGTTTCCCACTGTTGAAGATAGCTAAGTGGCTACATGGATGTCTGTCAGAGCTTCTGAAAATAGACTTTCTATGCTGGAAAGTGAGTAGGGAAA